CATTCGTTTATTTTGTCTTCCTCGCGGGATGCAAAAACCGACCTATTTTGGCCGCCATGTTGTTGATCGTTATAAATTATGCTAATGAAGCTAATGCATAGCGCAAAATGTATTGTTACCTGAGGGTTCATCTCGGGGTTATTCTCAACGAAAGATGTTTCCTATTTTGATCCTCTTTTTTTTTTATAAACTGTAATATCAATAATTCGCAATCGAGAAAATTCATTTCGTTTGGGCAGTTTTGACATGTCGATTCTTGCAACAAATAACTGTAAAATTGCGTGTACAATCATTGTTTCATTTCCGGTTTGTTTGACTTTCTGATTCAACACTGAGAGTTGAGCATTTTTGTTTATTACCAATGCTTCTTCATTTTTAATGCTCGTTTGTTTTTTCAAACACATTTACATAATATAATTTGTAATAAAAAAGTAAAGCTGTGTAATTATCCAGATGGAAATGAGTGACTTTTATTAAAAAAGACCTGTTCATTGTACAATGTGTAGGTTTGTTTTTATGTTTTGCTTATGATCTCTTTAAATTTCCCGCCCTAATTAATATTCATGATTGAATGAATAAATTAGGCCACCTCCATATAAAGACCACCTGTCTATAAAGGACAGTTTGGTTCAGTCCACTGACTGTCCTTTATAGACAGGTTTGACTGTATCACAAAAGCTGCTAATTGAATTTCCATGAAACTTTTGTTATAAAGATGTATAGTATATAATATCTTTATAAAATGGTATTGCTGCTTTAGAGATTCCTGTTTCGGGGAACATTTAGAGCTTTTGAAAACTTACTTTAATTTCTCAAGAGAAAATATTCACAAGTCAGGGTAAAATGTAACATTGCATTGTGGGTGAGTTTGGCTGGGGTTCTGTGACTTTTACTGGGGTTCTAGGGAGTCACAATGACTTTCACTGGGGTCCTATGGAGTCAGTGAATTTCATTGTCCTCGTGAATGCCCTCAAATTATCATATTGCAAAAATTGATAGTGATGAAAATAAATCAGTGAAATTATTACATTTATTTAGTAGTCTGAAATTGAATCTCTGTTGAAACAATTGTAACTTATTTGTAGATTTGTCAACCAAAAAACAAAACTAACCCATTTTGTTATATTTGTCTCCAATCTTCTTGCAGAGTTTTTTACAAAGTAAAGAGTAGAAGCGCTCACATGAAAAGTCATCGAAAACCAGACGCAGATGGCAACAAAAGTGGGAAATCCAAACCTGCACCGGCGGTAGCGGTGATAACTTCTAGCCAGACCAACTTTTAAAGAAGCAAATATGGACATGTCCAATTTCTAGACCTTATCCCCCATGTCTACAGTTTCAAAAATCTAATATTTTAATTCATTACTGGGTTTTAATTTCTCTATCTTTGTTTTTCTATAAAAAAGACTGACAGGCGCTATTTTTGTCTTTCGGGGTTTGTATGAACATTTTTATATAAAATTTGGATATAGATATTTATCTTCAATGACACCCATGGTGGGATCACTTTTTTGTAAAATAACAGGTCGAAAATTTGAGACGAGTTGCGTCCGACTCACTCTGTCAGTATTTTTGGAGGTGGTTTTATTGCATTATGTTTTTTTTTTCTTTTTAAATCAAGTGAATCATGATGTAGATAATATAAATTGTGAGCAGTATATCACAGAAATAACGAGAAAATATACAACATATTGTACTTTTCTTGAAACTTGTAATTATGTAGTTTACTGTACATAGCTTTATATATTCTCGCCAATAATTGTGACATGAAATTTTTTTTTTTTAAATAATATAGAGAATAATCTATGAAGAAAGATTGTTGATAGACTTAAAATTTACAACATCGTAATCAAATGTTCTTTTTAAATATTTGGAGGGTCTTGATATACTAGGATTACTGGCTAATATAAATCATATTATAAAATCGTGGCAATGGATGGGTTTTTATACAAAGTCGTCTTTTCAATGTTATGATTTTGTTTCAACGAATGTGATTCTAGCATTTTTCCGACAGTGTCCAGGAATCCTCTGGTTGCTTTTTAATCATATTCTTGCAGGGATTCTGCTTGGTTCTTTTGTTACTACGAACATTGTTTATTAGTAAGCTTTTACAGACACACACAATTTTTTGATAATTTTATTTGGAAGGTATAGTGTTTTTTTTGTTTGTAGAATTATCAAGACATCACTGCTATTACTAGATGAAAGACACATACTGCCTTGCACTCAAAAGCTGTATAAAACTAAGTATTTTTTTGATGGCATTTCATCGTTTTTTTTTTTTATGTCTTATATTTTTTAAAAAAGAGGTCTGCTTTCAGTGAAGTGTTGATTAAATTACACATAAAAAAAGAATTTTTCCTAGTTCCCTGCAACGTATTTGCAGTCTTCCTCTTGAAAAAACTATCACTAAAGTTTAAAGAAATGACTATTTATTTTTGACTCGTAAGTTGTTGAATATTGTTTCTTCATTGCCCATGCGATATTTGACTTTACAGAGCCTCTTCCCCTGCTTGTCATCTCTTACCCTTATTTATTTTAGACCACTTGCTTTAACTGCTGTCATATGTATAGTTTAAAATTCTTGTATCTTATCATAGTTATATGTATTAATAAATGAGAGCACTTTTTTTCACAAACGTTTCACTTTCAGCGCAGTGTTTTGTTTTGTAACGAAGTCCGAAAACGGGAACTTATAATTCAGTCTCCGTCCGTCTGTGCGTTCGTGTGTCCGTCCGGAGTCGTATCTTAGAATCCCTTGGACCGATTTTGTTCATTCTTTGCATGTGCCTAGTACTTTTATGTGAGACATATGCACATGCAGTGGTTTAGCGATTCAATTCAAAATGGCCGACTGGCAGCCATCTTGTTTTTGACTCCCATGTGCGAAGCACAAAATGGGAGTCTTTGCAGTTAGTGTGTCTGTATGTATGTGTGTGTGTATGTGTGTCCGACTGTTCCACTGCTATCTCAAGAACCATACATCGGTTTTTGATGAAACTTGGTGCATAGATGCTCTGGGCCAATGCGCAGATTTGATTAGATTTTGGTAAAAATCCATGCTCGTTAATTACCTAATTTGCATGATAATTAGCTAATTTTTAGCTGTTCTATGACTGTTCCACTGATATCTAAAGAACCACTCATTGGATTTTGATGAAACTTGGTACATAGATGCTCTGAACTAATGCTAGGTTTTGATTAGGTTTTGGTAAAAGTCCATGCTCGTTAATTACCTAATTTGCATGATAATTAGCTAATTTTTAGCTGTTCTATGACTGTTACACTGATATCTAAAGAACCACTCATTGGATTTTAATGAAACTTGGTACATAGATGCTCTGAACATATGCGCAGATTTGATCAGTTTTTTGTAAAAATCCGTGCATATTATTACCTATTTGCATGATATTAGCTATTTTTAGTGGTTCCATGACTGTTCCACTGATATCTA